AAGCACTACATGTTATATAGTGGTGGCGCTGCAGTATCTCACATTAGAGGTACGGGGCTATGTTGATGTTCATCTAGTTGGAGGCATTGATACCAGAAGAAGTACAACATGCTATATTTATACTTTTGGTGCACTGCATTATCATGGGTCTCTAATTTGCAAAAGACAGTTTCGTTGTCTACTACAGAAGTTGAGTATATAACAGTGTTAGAGGCTGCAAAGGAGATGACATGACTACAGGACATCTTGAAAGAATTAGGCAAGAAGGATCAGATGGGCATTTTCTATAGTGATGGTCAGAGCGCCATATTACTTGTCAAGAATCCAACATTTCGGTCTAGGACTAAGCACATTTAAATTAGGTATCACTTCATACGGTCATTGTTGGATGACAGACAGTTATTGCTTGATAAAATTTGTGGAAGCCTGAACCATGCTGATATGTTGACAAATGGGTGTTACTATGGAGGAATTGAAGTTGTCCGCAACTTCAGCTGGCCTTCTAGCTTGAAGACAGGGGTCTTGAGTTGCAGAGATGGAGGATTCATGTTTGAAGAAAAGATGACGCCGCCCGTGGAGGATATCAGTTTTAGGAAGAAGAAGTTGGAGTCTGTGTGTCGGTCTCCAAGTGGGTGATTTGTTGAAGTGGAGTCCGTAAAAAAATGAAAAAAAAGGAAATAGTTGCTTTTGCCTAAATGCCCCCATTTCGCCTTTCCGCCTCCGCTCGCTCTTCCCGTTTTTGCAACAGGTCCCACTCTCGCCTCATTCAGTTCCCATTTTTGCAACAAACAGTGTAAATTCCTCTGCAACTCCGTGAATGTAGGCAACATGCCGAACCACGTAAATTTGTGTGTTGTTTTCTGGTGTGATTTTTCTCGTTCTATTTTTTTGCTCCATCGTCGATTATTTTAAATTTCATATATACCAAAACATATTGCAGTTGATTCATAAATGTTTGTTGGTTCATTAGCAAACGTTGCACTTGATTCATTTTATACATAACATAAGGCATTGTTGATTCATAAATGTTAAAGTGGATATTGATACATACATAACATATTCTGGAGCTTGCAATTAACTTGATAAAAAAAATTTGCAGTCAATAGACTGATAACCTTATTAAAAGTTTATTACAAGAGTTGATTCACTAGTAAATATTATTTTATTATGTAAACAACAAATATGTTGCAATTTTTTTATTTGTATATATAAATAATACTTATATTAGCAGTATTTCGGTCACTGTTTATTAGATTCAAATGGACGATATCCAACTTTATGAGTATAAAAACATGGATCCTCCTATAGTTGTTATTAGGTTCATATGTCTTTATTTTGTTGTTGAGATAAACTGAACCAATTTCGTTCAAGTTATTACATATTGAAGGTTGAAAAGCTATTGATTAAGAATTTTCACAACTTGAAAAATTCTTATGCTTGAGTGTTGATTCTACGTTTGATAAGCGAAAATAGTGATTATATTTTTAATATGAATCATCATGCAGTTGCTAGCTTGTTTGTTCATTGCAATTTAATATTGTGAAATTGAATGAAATATCAAATGATAATTACATAAGTGGAACAAGTGGTGCAATTTTATGTTGACAAATTGATATTCTATTTCATTGGTAACATATTTTCTTTTTTCCGAAAATGATTGATGAAACTTTTAACATATATACATGTAATTTTTGTCATTTTAATGGGTTTGTCTCTCAGAAATGTTTTATTATAGCTATCATTTGCATAAGTTTGTTTGTTGAAACTTAAACAAATCCATGAATGAAATCTTCTGTAATATTAATTTTTTTTTGTTTACTTATTTATAATATCAACATTTGAACAACTTCAATATGCAACAACTAGCAAACAGTTGTCAATTGCAACACAATATGGAATTGATAGTTCTCATAATGTGCCTCAATTTATTAAAGTGACTTTTGGAAGTACTAGTACTGAAATGCCAATTAAGAAAAGCAGGAAGAGATAATCAACTGTGTGAGAGTATTTTGTAGATATTAAATCCAATTTCAAGTGGATTGAAGTATCCTTTGTTCAATGCATTTGCAATGGGTTATGGGGTAAAAATCCACAAACTAAAATCAGACACAACTAGAAATAATGACAAGTATGATATTCTTTTTTTCTTAGATTATTTCATGTTAATTCTCTATGCTTATCTTAGATAATTATTCTTATTATTTTAGTGCATAAAAAGCAAGTATAACATCGTCTGCATAGTTTAATATGATACATTTTGACAATAATTTGTAATATTCAAGAGTTATTTTATGGATTATTTTTTGCATATGGATGTAAGGCTAACCATTTTTTTATTTACATAGAAAATTAATAATTTTTCAAATATCTACTCATCAAAGTACTCTTATTATGGTTTCATTTATTATTTAAACCTTCAACTAGAATCATTCAACCATACACGAATCATAACTTTTAAACTATTGCATGTGTTATTATATGATTGCTAAAACTGTATTAACACCGTGGATGATACTCAATACATATGAAGCAGTAGTTATATGAGTTCATCTAGTTATTTAGATACTTATAAAATTGTTGCAAGAGAAGTTGCTATTGGAAGTTATAGCTAAATCAGTTATTATTATTTGAAAATTCTGTTAGAGATTTTTTTCTATGAATTAGAGAAGTAATTTATAATTTTTGGCCAAGCTTTTGTGATGTTGTTTGTATTCAAATGACCTAAATACTCTTATTATTAGCTCTTTAATGGAACTTTGATCCTTGAGAAAATGCACAAAACCATTATTTCTGAGTACAAGTCAATTTTTCTTTGTAATGCGTTTACCTACATAACACCTAATTCTTATGTATTTACATATCTAACATTTAAACTTTGAATTTTTTACATTTATACCACCCAATTCTTTCACATCATAAAAAATAACACCACTTTAACTTAAAAAAAAATGAAATACACCTTTTCATGCAAGGGTAAGGTGGGTTGGTATGTACGTAAAAATTAAAGTTTAGGTGTTAGATACGTAAATTTTTAAGAATTGAGTGGTATGTGAATCTTACATAAATTAATTTCTAAGTTGGGGGCTAACGGCTTGAATTCCGCTACCTCTCATTATTCATCCAACTCAGCTTAACTTCATTAAAGATAAACTGATCTCAAGCAATAACATTCTTGCTGGGGAAACCCTCAAATGTTTCTATTCTAATTCCCTATAACACTTTTGTGCTCAAATTGATATTTTATAGTCCATTGATAACCTTAATTATACACGAAGGTTTGTTCATAAGGTTGGCCCTAAGAGTTTGTTTAAATGGACCGATGGTTGTGAATACATTTATGAATCAACAATAACTCATGTTATGTATGTAAATGAATCAACTATAACATTTGCTAAAAAAATGAACATTCATTTATGAATCAATTGCAATATTTGCTAATAAATCAACAACCACCCCAACGTTTATACATTTGCAAGTCAGAAAAGTGTCACGTCTTTATAATAAGATCTACATAAATCAAAATTACAGAAACAACCTCAGAAATATGCTATGTATGTAAATGAGAAAAATTGGAGCAAGGGATTTCATTTTTTAAAAATCATAAAATAAGAAACAGAAATAACATATGCTTACAAGCAGTAAAGTATCACTGATGCAATTCTTTTATTTTTTTATATGTTATATTTGCAAGCAATATGACATATAAAAAAATTGCATAACATAAAATATTTCAAACTTGGGAACTTGAAAGAATGTGAAAAAAATAATAAAAAAAGTGGCACTTAAAGTAAACAAAATAAAAATCTATTCTCTAAAATATAAAATTGTTGGAACTTAGAAGTCATAAAAAACTGAAAAAAATGAAAAGCCTTAAAAAAACATCAATGAAAATAGGGCACTCTGTAAACAACTAGCTAACAAAAGAGAAACGTCATATTACTGAATACCAATGATGTCTATCCTCCAGTCAGGCGGACCACAAATTTTATTAAAAAATTAAAACTAAGAAAAAGGCAAATTAGAGAAAGTGAAAAGTCATAACAAGATCTCGGAAAGACAAAGAATTGAAAATAGATCTATCAAAATGGAATGAAAGAAAGGAGATCTCGAAGTCTCACAGTCTCACATACTTACTTGCCCCTCATACTATACCCTCAACTCTCGCCTCTTGTCGTTTGAGCTCGGGAAAGAAACGAATAATGACAAAAAAAAAAGTCGAAAAGCAACAACGAAATAATAGAATTAGTGTTTATTTTATCGCCGTGATAGCAAGCACAAAGTGTTGCATTTTTTCCTTTTCTGCGAACAATCATATTGCAAAAAAATTCATACAAAAAACATATTTTGTAATTTTAAATATATTGGTATATCAAGTACCTAAAATAGTTAAAATACTAAAGAAAAAGTATTTATTTTGTACTAACAAATATCAGGGAATAAACTAGCATAGCTTAGTAATCCTAGCGTTTGTTAGTGTTCGGCACATTCAAAACTTCAGTTCTTTGAAATAGGTCGTGCATAGTATACTCATTCAATTTCAGTTCATTTGAGCCTGTCTATTGCTAAAAAAATAATAAAAATTAATTTTTTTAAAAAAAATTAATATAAAAAGAATAATAAAATTTCCAGGAAAATGTTCAGGAAAAGATTGAGCAAAGGCATACTTCTCTTTGTAGAAATTGTTAGGTGTAACTAACCTCTGGACAACGGTATGAATGGGCAGTCTTTTGATACACGGTGGCATGGCAGCATCTGCATCGTCGTCGAGCATAAGTTTTATTTTAGTAGCATGTAATAAGTTTTCTTCAGCTTAAATTGTTAATAAATGGAGTTCAAAATAATTTCTTAAATTTTATTTTCTTTCTTAATAAATGAATGGAACACCAACTATTAGCAACTACTCAAACAGGAGCTGTCTACTAATGAACAGATCCGGTCAAATAGCATTTTAACACTTTTTTTTCACAAAATCCCTGGATTTCAACTATTAAACCACAGTCTCCAGTCTCAACAAGAAGCCATTTTATTTCATCCATACGATCCCACATACAAGACTAGGAAACCATACACAAAGCAAGCATTTATAGAAATGCTTATCTTATTTACCATTGCTCATACACACAAGTCTTTGCCTATTCATCACTCTTAAATCATTCCCTCCATAATTTTACCCATTTTCCTCACCTTATTCTGCTTCGCCGCCGAAACCCCCACGGTCCCATTACGTGCAGCCGTGACGACGACGGCCACAGAGCCACCGTAATTAGTCCCCGTAGCCCATATGGGATTGCCATATATGACAACATTGCGATCCTTTTGTAGTACAAGGATATAGTATCCATTGTCTCTTCCGGTGTTGCTCGCCCATATGGCCCTATTTGAATAGTCGTAGATGACGAGATTGCCGTCGTTCTGCATGGCGAGGTAGCAGCCCGAACCGCTACCGCCGGTTCCCGAAGCCCAAATCGCTGAATTAGAGTCGTAGAGAACGAGGTTGCAGTCGTACTGGATGATGAGTTGTAAGTTCATACTTCTGAGCGATTCACCTCCGTTGAGACGCTCACCGGAGAGCAAGTGATTGTACGTCTGAGCTGAGGATGGGTCGGCGAGAAGGATTGTGAGGGATGCAGCGAAGAGAAGGGACTTAATCATTTGGGAGAGAACCATGGTTGGTTAATCAAGGAGATATTTTTGTATGGTTTAGATCTGCTGCGGGCTGAACTCTCAATTTATAGTGCTTCGGCATTATCTGGAAAAATAAAATAAAATAAAATAAATAAAGTAAAATTAAGAAAAAGTACGATGCAATCATCTAACGGTTAAAGTGAAACGTACCGAGTAAAAGTAAATCATGTCGAATCCAGCACATGATTTTTATACGTGTTGTTTTTTTTTTGGCGGCAAGCCGCGTCTCACTATTGTGCGTCAGTTTGTATTTATGATTTATTAGAAGATGCACAGAGTTAATTTCTAAAGTGAATTTATTATAATGCTTTGCATAAAAATTTATAAATTTGCCTAGCTCGCATTTAAGCTATCTATTGAGAAAAATTTCTGATTGAATGGTGTATATTTCTGCTTTATCTAAAATGATTAGGGGAGTACAAAAGTCAAGTCGAGCTCGAGCCATCTTCGACTTGAGCTTGAGCTTGATTAATTTTATTAAATTTGAGCTCTAGCTGGAGCTTACGCCTACGAGTACAGGTCGGCTGTCTCACAAGCCGGTTTGTTTGTTATAAATACAACAAAATATTATTAATTTAAGGTAGTGTTATAACAAAATGATAAATTGACAGACAATTATAAGATAAATAATAAAAAATCACTTAATATTAATTAGATACTATAGCTTTATATATATTTAAATACTTTTATGATAAAATCTTCAAATTTATTTATTTTAAATATATTTTATAATAGCTGGCTCACAATCTAACGAGTCAAGTTGGGGCTAGGTTGAACTTGATTTGTTAACTCATCGAGCTGAGCTAAAGCCCGCTCACGAGTCGGCTTGACTTACACCCCTAAAATGATTAATATGTTTGCACATCACCTTAAATTATAAAAATCCTAAATATGATGCACTAAAAGTGTGTTAGCATTTATTAAACTCTTATATTTTTGAAGTAGGATGACATATTCTCAAAATTTTTATATTGATGCATATAATTAATTTGATAAATTTAAACTCAGGCATTCAACAGTGAAGATGAAATGAGATTAAAAAAGGTTATAGTATGGCAAATGATATACTATGATAACACATATAGATATGGTGATACAATTGAACACATATAAGAACTAAAAAAGGGACCTTAAATCTATATATTATGGTAATTTATATAGATTAGATGGTAAAGAGGAAATTCTTATAGAAGCAAACGTGTCAGCAAATGTACTTACATATATAAGTAGGTTGATGACGGTAAGCCCACATGAAGGCAAAATGTTCCTAAAATTAAGATATTTATAATGACCTGCATGGGTAGGGAGCAAAGATAAGCCTTTATAGAGGAAAAAAAATTCTTATTATGTAGTTATTAGGCTAGATCATTAATCCTAGAATACATAAGTGTACAAAAATCATTTACGACCTCTATGTTGTGACATAATAATTATGACATAATGTGTTTTAGATGAAGCTCTCAACTCCGATTTCTTTGACCTACAGACACTATCACAGTTTTTGTAGCTCTCACAGTTTTTGTAGCTCCCAATTCCAGTCTCTGAAGTCTATAGATGTTATCACAAGTCACCACTATGACTTACGTAATTAGTTACCACGAGTTTGATCCACAACTCATGCATCTCTCAACTACGGCCAATGTGGTCTATAAGCATTATCACGACTCACCACTACAACCTTCGTGACTAAATTTGACCTTTGTGGTTCATAGCTGATGCAGATATTAACTCTTACCTCTCTGACCTATGCACATTCTCACAGTTTTTCAACTCCCTACTATGACATTTGTGACCAATCACACTTTTGAAGCAACCATACATATGACGAACTACTCTCATTAATTTTAATTATGACTTCTATGACAAGCTGACACTACAACCATCATTTATAATATTTATGGTGAATTTTTTAGATCAATTATTTCTAATTTAAAAGAAGAGTTAACTTATGTACTTACAATTATAGTAGATTATTTCAACTGGCCTAGGTCCCGTGATTTTTTTTCCCTTTCGATGATTTTTTGCATAAATATTTTTAGTGTTTCTACCTGTCACTTTAATTACCTAAGAGTGTACTATATTTTCATGCAACATTAAGACATTAAATAATCACTTTGCTGTTGTGGACCTTTCAATAGAGTTATCTAAGTTTTGAAATATGATTAGAAGGAAATATATGTTTTTTTTATCCTCGATTAATGACATAAAGATAAAAATAATTGATATGAAGGAGATGAGAAATAAAATTTAGCAGGCTTTTACATATATAACACCCAAAATTTTTATATTTATCTATCACACATAAACTTTTATAATGAAAAATAACACTTACTATCATCTTGTAATAGTCAAATTCATCATTTTATCCATAGATAAATGTTATATGTGTAAAAATGAAAGTAGATAAGAGGAAGTTGTTAAACCATAAGAATGGGATGCTATGTACGTAATTTTTTTCTAAATTTTAAGGATGTCAGTTAATTTTTTGAATTTAAAAGACCAAACTTATTACTTATATCGATAAAATAATAAAATGTAATTTTAGACTGAAGATATATTGCACGTTGAATTATTCTGTAGATACCCTTAATGATTGTCTCTCTAAAAAGTTGTCCCACGTTTTCATCGAGTAAAGTAATGCATGATAATTAGGACAGAGATGGAGCGGTCACCGGTTATGCTAAACAGATCCCTATTGTACGAATTGCTATATTTTATAAGCGAATTGGGCCCGGCTTTTTTTGTGGCTTCGTGGCTTGCTGTCAGCCGTTCGTAGCAATCCACTGGGTTTCATAATTCGAAGATAAGGTAGTGATTAGAATTATAAAGCAATAAAAAAAACAAAAAGGTTTGACGATCTTTAAAAATTAAAAGTAAAATTTGCCATAATAATTTTTAATATTTTTATTTAATAATTAAAATTTAAGAATAGTATTATAATATATGGATATCATAAATTTATGTAAGGAAAATTTATTTTATATTTTCTGAAGATTGACGCTGCAATAAAATCTAATAGATGCGTTGATAATAAAAAAATAGGAGGATAAATCAAGTCTTTTTTCGGAAAAATTCTGGAAAAAAAATAATTATGGATTTAATCCGACAAAATAATACACTATATAATTGTAAATATGCATACCCGTTCTTCTTTTGTATCAGGGTGAAAATATAAAGCGGATAATCACAGAAGTATAATAATAATTAGTTATAATAGTCATAATTCAGATACAACAAATTTAACATTTGACTATAATAATAATATTTGGCCATAAAAGCCATAATTATTTGGTTCAAAATTATTTTTCGCGGCTATGTTGTTACATCATATAAAAAGAAAATGAATGTGGGAAGGAGAAATATTTGCGTACGTAAGATGTACGCAGCGCTGCGTACTTCAGGTAGATTACATGGAGGGTATTGAAGCTTATATCTGCATTATACTCCCTTTACCCTCCCTATAACCTACCTGTAACTTACAAATATATGAAAATAGAAGCGTGAAACTTACTAGTTACAGGTAGGTTACAGAGAAGTTATAGGGGGTATACCGCAGATATAACCCCCATTACCAACCTTGTAACCTACCAGACGTACGCACCTCTACGTACATCTTACGCGCGCTAATATTTCTCATATTTTTTTAAAGCACATCTTACGCGCGCTAATATTTCTCATATTTTTTTTAAGAGGCTGGTCTTAATTCTAATGATTAATTCTACCGGTTGAACCTTTTAACATGCTATTATAACATTAGCCATTGTGAAAAAAGATTTCAACCCTTCTTCTCCGAGAAAATTCATATATTCTTAGTCATTTTTTCTAGTGAATGTGAATAAGGCACTTGACAGCCCACAAACACATCTAAAAATGTCACTACTCGGCCTGGGACTAAGAATTAATCAAAGCGGAATTAGATGGTTGAACAGTGACAATCATGCTTATCTATTTTTCTTTTACTATCATTAACATTTCATTAATAAAAAATTAAATGAAAACCCTCTATATAAATGAAAGAGTTAACACTTAACTTTTTTTCTAGTTGTCTGAATCTTCTATAAATGTTGTCGCTTCTATTACTTATATTTACCTTGCAATTTTAACTAAACATTATAATTTAAACCAAAATGAACTAACAAGCCATTGAATACTCATGTTTCTAAACCAAAATAACCCAATAATTAAAAAAAAAATACTATACATGTCAGCTAATCTTATAATAAATCATTAGAAGAATATTTGACAATTTATATGTCAAGGTATTTAAAAAATTGCATATCATACTATATCATTCTCATCTCTACATTATTTTATATATAACAATCACAGAAGCATCATTTAAAATTATATCAATTAAAATATATCAAAATTAATATATATTTTTTTTCTTTTACGTGCACAGGTGATTTAACATTTCACAGTTAGTATCATAAACGGGTAAACTTCATCATAGTCAATCATACACATGTAAACATATAATATAATATTTTTTTCTTTATATGCTCTTTTCATTCAATTCCACATTTACATAATGCATAACATTAGTATTTCTAAAATTTCATATTCATCACAATGATATGACTGATACGTAAAAGAGTGTATAACTCACACTAAAATAGTACAATCAAGTTTTTGTAATTATCAATGAATTCAGCTTAGAAGAAAAGAAAAACCATCATAGCTTAAAAGTAAAAGTGTTTCCCTTGCTTTCAGATGATGTTGCTTGCTTTTATGTCCTAATTTTTTTTTCTATAATAGATTATATATCATCAATTACAAAGTATTATTATGATAAATTAACTGAATGATTAGTCTTTTTTTATAATTAAAATATTTTTAATTTATAATATTTTATGAAATTTGATACTATCATACAAAACTATATATATATATATATATATATATATATATATTATCACTACACAATTTTTTGCTTTATTATATAGATAAATTATTACTACGATATAATATTTTTATCTATCGTAATTTATTTAAAAGTAAAATAACTTCATTAAAGTCTTGCCTCAATCAA